CATTAAATGTGACGATCAATATAAGAAAAGCAAATCTTAAGAGTTGACTATTATACGTTTTACAATGTTTAAAAAGCATATTTCCAATGTATTTAATCTTTATTAAAGCAATAAAATTATATGTATACATATAAAGCTGCTTTTAGACAATAAAAAATTCCAATTTAAGTTTAAGTCGATTAAGGAAATTATTTCGAGAAAGTAAAATCTCTTTTAAAATCAATCATTTAAATATTTTTTGACATTTGAATTTTGGATAAAATCATCGAGCAGTTACGTGAAAATACTTCAATATCTTAAAACATATATATTTTTGGTAAATAAACTCTTCTCGTGAGAATTTGGGTTAAATTTGTTTGTTTAATTTCCAATCCAAGTATGAAATTTCATTTTCATTTTGCAGTGTAATTATGGTATTACGTCCAAAATCTTAAAAAATAGCATAATTTAATATTTTAAGAAAGAATTTTGAAATTTTTATAATCTCATCTAACTAGACGTGATTAATTTCAACTTTAATCGTTAAACAGATAGTTGATAATACATATGATTGGTGTAAAAAAAGATAAGTATGCATGTGTTATTAATAGGAACAGATGTAGAATTTTATCTTAGAAGGACGAATTTCTATAATTTTATGATATGACAAACTTATAAAATTTTATTAAGACAAAAATATATTTTTAATTGAAAATACAAAAAAAAATAAATAAGATATATACTAATTTGAAATTTTCAAGGGACGACTGTTCTCATCTGCCTCCTCGGTCCATTCCTAAATATTAAGGTTTATATATGAATATAAGAAGACAGATAATGTGTCGAATTGTGGGTGGGTTAGAGGTGTAAAGAGTGCCCAATCATCTCCACAAAAGTGAAGATACGATCGGTACAAGACAATGACATATACCTACAGTGTAATAAAGTATATGTCTACACATACAATATAAAAGCTTTATACTTTTTATGTTGATAATCCTGTTTTTTAATGAGTTTTCGCCAACCTGTTAGCTTTTAGAAATTACTATTTTTTGCCTCTAAAGTTGTATACGTGATTCATTTATTATTATTAATCATAAATATATTATAAGAAAGAAAATACTATGGAATTAATAGTTCAAAATTTAAGTATAAAGTGATTTTGATTTTTAAAAGTTTGAATAATGGAAATTTTGAATATTAAAATTATATATTTTTTATTTTTAGTTAAGTAATTTAGTTGACCCGTGATTTGGTATTTGATGTTTTTGTTTTCTCAATATATTGTTAGATTGTTTAAAATGGAACCAATCATTATCATAATATCATAAATAATTATAATTAAATTTGAACATGAAACTCAAACAAACATATTTGATTCAACTTAACTCGAATTTAATAAATTTGACTTGAAAAAAATTAAATTAAATTTTGAATGATAAAATAATATTCACTAACTCGATTAATTCAAATTTTCACTTGATTCGATCGAATACTCACTTCTAACTAGAACCAAAATAGGGTGATATATATAACTTTTAAAAAATAACTTAAATTAAAATTAATAAAAGATAACTTTTAAAAAAATAGTTCCCTGAAATGATATCCCACCTGATATATATATATATGTGTGTGTGTGAATACTTTTGTTGAAGTCCCAGCAGCAATATTACAAATGGAAGTTGAAATTATGAAGCAGATGAATTTTTCAGGTGACTGGTGAAAATTGGAGTGGGAAAATACTAGTTTCTTTTTTCCTTTTTTCACATGGCACATGTAGCAATTAATGAAGCCAATGTTGTTGGCAATATCATTATCTGTTAACTTCATTTTCTTTTTGAAATTATTAATTATTTAATTGATTTAATTAGCTACACTAATATTAATTATTTATTTAATATAAGTTTATTTTATCTTTACCTTCATTTTTAACTATGTGTATATTACGGTCAACAATTTTTAGAGTAAGTAGTTAAAAGTTCTCATTTGATACTTCCTCCTTCCCTTAAACTAAAAATTCAATATTCATTAAGAATAAAATTCTCATTCACATTTTCCTTTGTACGGATTCGGCAAAAGTTCTCATATAATGCTACAGTGAATGCTTAATTCCCAAACTAAAGTGCTCATCCGATTAATTCCCCAAATGGGGTGTTTTCTACAGTAAATTTGGGATCTCTCGGCGTCTTCAGGGTGAACCAGATTTTTTTTACTCTTGCTTGGATCTCTAGGCTTCTTTAGTTGAAATCCATGAAAAATTTTGGCCTTTTTACACAAATATCACCTTAACATAAATTAATTACTTGTTAGGCACTGTTTAAGAATATTTTACAGATCAAGCAAATTTTTAAATACTTTATATAAAATTAATCATATTTTGTTAGTATTTTATTTAATTATTGTATTATTTAATTTTTTTATTATTTAATTTAATTATTTTATTTTTTTGCAGTTATAAAATGGAAAGTGGTCCTTGAATAATTATATTCGGATTTCTCAGCTTTTAAACTTTTCTCTCGGCTATAAATACGCTCTCAACACGTGGATATCTATACTGAAGCGACGACATTCTTCTAGTTTAGATGATTGATGTGAATGTTTACAAGTTGAGAGCGTATTTACAGCCGAGAGAAAAAGTTTAAAAGACGAGAGAAAAGTTTAAAAGCCGAGAAATATGAATATAATTATTCAAGAACCGCTTTCCATTTTATAACTGTAAAAAAATAAAATAATTAAATAAAATAATAATAAAATTAAATAATAAAATAATTAAAAAAATACTAACAAAATTTGCTAAATCCGTAAAATATTCTTAAACAGTGCTTAACAAGTAATTAATTTATGTTAAGGTGATATTTGTGTAAAAAAACCAAATTTTTTCATGGATTCTAAGACGCCTAGAGATCCCAATAAACAATCTAAAAATCTGGTTAACCCTGAAGACGCCGAGAGATCCCAAATTTACTGTAGAAAACATCCCATTTGAGAAATTAATCGGATGAGTACTTTAGTTTGAGAATTAAACATTCCCTGTAGCATTATATGAGAACTTTTGCCGTAGGAATTGTTAAGAAAAATGTAAGTATCATATTTCACTTCATTTTGTATAATTTAATACGATTTGGATAACTACAATCATAATCAATATTTATTATAAATATTCTGAAGATTAATTAATATTTATTTTGATTTATGACAAAAAAAGCATATATAAGTATTACTTGATATCCGAATGATTTTCTTTTAATAATTCGAGTAACATAAAATCTAGATTAATGTTCGAGTGTAGTTAATTGACATTGCTGGTAATTGCCAACTTAGCTATATTTGGAATGATGAATATGTAAGATTCATACAACTAACATATATGATATCTTATAAAATAAGAAGAGTATAATATATAGAATGCTAATCATTGATGTTTAAATATTTGATATAATTTTTAATTATTATTTTTTTAATATTAATTAAATATTATAACAAATGTTGTAAAAATATTTTTTTCAATTCAATATATATATATATATATATATATATGCCTTAATTAAAATGAAGGTTCTCTATAATATAACCTCATTATTACAAAAGAGTTTTTCTTCGTATTCAATACGTAATAAGTTTAACGAGAAGAATGTTGCTGAGTGTTGAGACGTGGCTCAATCAGCCGCGTGAGATTTATTTTAATAGTTAAATGATATTTTAATTCTTGGTTTTTGAATTTTTAATTGAATTTAATCTATAAGCTTTTTAATCATGAACTATATTGTTTGTTATAATAAAAATGAGTTGAATTAAGGGTAAATTACGTATTTAATCACTAAATCATTAAATTATTTATTTTTAAATAAAATTATACTTAAATTTATATTTTAATTTTGTTTTCGTCATCAGTCATTAAAAATTATTATTGAAAACGACATGTCATAACAAGATAATACCGTATCATTATTAATAAAATAAAAAAATTATCATGTCAATAGTTTTGTTTGTTTTTAAATACATATTACCAAAGTATAAATTTATGTATAATTTTTAAAGAAAAATAGATGATCAAAATAAAATTACAAGAATAATTAATTAACTAAATACATAATTTACTCTTAATAATATATTTTAAACTTAACTTTAAAAAAATATTCATAGAATAAAGTAATAATATAGTACTACATCAAGTCAAAATATCATTTAACTTTAATTTTAATTAATTAGTTAAGGGTACTTTGGAGAATTCAAGTTGAGTTTGATAGCGAACCCTAGTTGATAGTCTTATAGTGGGACCTTACGCGAGATAGACTTCGGAGTCGACGCTGATAATACAATCTCACGCGATCACATTGACCGTGCACTCACTCTCTCGTACTCTCATGTATATGTGTATAACTTGTCTAATTTTTTTTTTCCTTTTACATTTAGTTGTTAGAAAAATAAATCTAGAGGAAGAAGAAATATGAAAATTAAAATGGGACATTTCAAGTGTGACTCATTTATTTAAAAATTTTAAATTATTTATAAAATAGAACAAATTATAACAATAATTTCCAATAATAAAATTGATAAGTAGAAAAATCATTTATATAAATAATGAAATGTTATATTTTAATGTGCATGTCTCTTGGAATCTATCTCATACATTAGATATGTTATGTTATATTATAATTATTAATATATTTAATCTATTAAGAGACCTTAATAGTATAAGAGAATATTATTATTTTTAAAAATCACGAGAATAATTATATTAGCGTAGTGTATATCATAAGAAACTAAAAAAAATTATGAATATATATTATTTTTAATCACTTGAGATTATTAAAAAAAAGATTGATATATCTTTTAATATGATAACAACGTGTGATATATAATTTTAAAAATGTTATTATTTTGGAAGGATTAGATGGATAGTATCTCACGCGCCGGTAGTGGGTTGTTGGAAGAAGAGTTTGTCTTACTTTGCTAAATTGCTCTACGGTTTTATCGTAAAGGAAAGGATGATGAAGGGGGAGAAGCATCGAAAGCAAAACTGAAAGAACAACACGAAAATACCCTCAACTCAAACATCCCTATATTTAGTAATTCCAACCCCCCAAAAAGAAAAAAAGAACAAGAGGCTCTTTACATCATCTACACCATTCTTCATCAACAAAAGCAAAAACCCTAATTTGTTGTTCCATAATTATGCAGCCTTGTAGTCGTGAAATGCAAGCAATGAACTCTCTATTAAACCCTTCCCAACAAATTCCCCTCCAAGACCTACAAATCAACAGTCATCATCCGCAGTTCGATGATCCCGCATCGTCCCACGATGACTTCTTAGAACAGATGCTCTCAACGACGTCGTTCCCTGCTTCTTCTTCCCCATGGTCCGACCTCAAGTCTCCTTGGGATCCACCCAAACCCCAAGAATCTGGTCCTTGTAACCTCGATAACAATGCAGCCGCCGCCGGGTTCCACCATGATGAGATTCTATCTTCCAAGCTTAGACAACAACAACATCAAATCAACGAAGGAGATGGCAGTAACTCTTTCCAAGCTATGAAGATGATGATGATGATGCAACAACAGATGATGGTAGCCGGAAGACCCACGGTTGCCGCCTCCGCCAGCGGCGTAGGAACACATCAGGTATATACGTTATCTTACTTTCATTACCCTATATAGATGATTACAAGTAAGAATGAGTGATTAAATCGTTTATTCTTTTTTGCAGGGTGGTGGAGAAGATTCCATACAAGCTTTATTTAATGGCTTCGGCGATGGATCTTTTCATCATCCACAAGCAAGTTTTGGGGCCAACTCGACAACGGAGATAAACCAAAGTCAGGGTCCGACAGCCGTCGCGCCGCCGACGGAAAAGCCAAAACAAAAAGTTAGGGCAAGGAGGGGTCAAGCTACTGACCCGCATAGTATTGCTGAACGAGTAAGAGAACAATTTTTAAACCAGATTCATTTCTTTTTATCATCTTTCATGTCGATTTTACCGTCTATATTGAATTCGAATTGTCTTTGAAATGAAATTTGACTCCCGTTTATGTTTAAAAATGATTTATTTTTGCAGCTACGGAGAGTTAAAATTGCAGAGCGAATGAAAGCTCTTCAAGAACTGGTTCCTAATGCCAACAAGGTACACTTCATCATCATCTTCTTTTTGTTTCACCATTTTCGTCGTAATCGGAATCTTAATAGGCTCCGGTATCCAGCTGAAAAGTCTGACCGCCGGCCGGTTATTCGGTCCATTTTAGGCTACGTGTAAGCTGAACAGGTGTCGATATTATGATAAATTAATCGTCGCAGTCCAGTTCCTTTAATGCTTCTCTGACTCATTATTGATTTTTAATTACAAACCACCCGTTTTGGAAACTGGAAACCCTCTAAATTATTCGGGATATTTGAGCTTCATCATATCCTTAATACGTAATTAAATAACTAATATAGTCATATTATTGTTTTGGTCCCTCTGCAATGCTTGAATGTTGGACTAAATCCCCAATCCTCTACTTTTCCTATTGATTAGAAGGGTAATTTCCAAGAAGAAAAAAACTATTTCTCCATTTCAATATGAATAGTTATCAGTGTTTACTATTTGAACTAACATTATATATATTAAAGTAGAGGGTCAAATTAAATTATAAAATTATTTATACAAATATATATATATATATATATATATTATTAAGGATTTTCTTTTTTACATGTGATATTTGTATGTTCAAAGTATTATTATTTTAATTACCGCCTTTTATTTTTTATGTTATTTTTATGGTATCTCTAACAGACTGTACTTCTGTATTTTGATAATTTAAACAATTTGATTAATTAGCATTGTGATCTGCGTGGGATTTGGAATGACAGACAGATAAAGCTTCAATGCTTGATGAGATCATCGACTATGTCAAATTCCTCCAGCTCCAAGTCAAGGTAATCCTTTTTCCCCTTTTTTTTAATTATCTAATTAAATAAAATATTATTAAGGATTCCCTGTATTGACATGATTTATTTATTTATTAACATTTTAATTATTTTTAATCCAGTTGTATGGGCTACCCTGAAATTAAAATTCCTTTATTTACAGGTTCTGAGTATGAGCAGATTGGGCGGTGCTGCTGCTGTTGCTCCCCTTGTTACTGATATGCCATCTGAGGTAAATCTTTTTTTTTAAATAAAAATAATAATAATAAATCACCTTTAATAACAATAATTAACATTTAATTAACAAATTTAACGTAATTTTTTTATATGTGATTATGATGAAAAGAATTGTATCGAACAGGGTACTTGTTTTTGTTAAAATCAAAATCATTCCTTGTCTGAAATCCGACCATATCTCCATCACATCAATAAAACGACAAAAGACAAAAGTAGCACGCGTGCCCTAACTTCTGTAGATTACTTTCCAAGCTTTTTATTGGTCAAATTTGGTTTTGATCCTTTTATTATACCAAAACTTATGATTCAGTCTTTATACTTTAATTTAGCCTCAATTATTCCTTAATTTTTATAGTATAATCAATTTCTTATTTTAGTATAATTGTTTCATATCCTGATTTATTCTCATTAAAATATTTTTTAATACCGTTATTGTCATTTTTTCATGATATATCGAGTCTTAGGTTCTACTTCTAACTTTGTGCAAAGTTAACAATATTAGGAAAGTAAAAGGGTTAAAAATAAATATTCAATATAGAGAAGGATTAAATCAAAATATTAGCCTTTTTCTATTTTTAGTTGTAAAGACAATTCTATGAAAAAGTACGAATTTTTGTCCTTTTGAAGGGAGGTGGTGATTGCATTCAAACGAGTGCTAATGGTGGATCCCATACACGAACTTCCAACGGCAACCAAACGCCGCCTGCTAACGACAGCCTGACGGTGACGGAGCACCAACTGGCCAAGCTTATGGAAGAGGACATGGGCACCGCCATGCAGTATCTTCAGGTGAAGGGTCTATGTCTCATGCCGATCTCGCTCGCCACAGCCATCTCAACCGCCACTTCTCATTCAAGGAACCCAATGATCAGCAATGAGAACCCAAACACCGGCATTAACGGAATCGGTAGCAACCCTTTGCTACAATCGAGCGGTGGTGATGGGCCTTCCTCGCCTAGCATGTCGGTGTTGACCGTCCAGTCAGCCACCATGGGTAATGGCGGTGCTGATGGCGCTGCCTCCGTTTCCAAGCCGTGATAGCGGCGTTTGTGACTGACCATTATTAGGCATTAGCTCCAGACACAGTTGAAGGGCAGCTTTGAGTCTATGAAAAATAAGGTTGTCTTTGTTCAATCGTGTTTTTTCCCCCTGCAAACGACACCGTATTTATAGACTTTATAGGCTAAACCCTGAAGTCAGTTCCCGTAATGGAATAAACTTTGAACCTAAATATTTTATCATTTTATCTACAATCGAATAATTATAATTGTTTTTCATTTAATATTGTCGTGTTTCACTTTTTTCTTCTTGACTTCGTTTGGATTTTTATCTCACATTATTATTTTATGTATATAAATTCAGTATCAATAATCAAAATATCCAACTCGTTTAATGTGAAACTAAATGGTACTTAATTTTGTTAATAAGGAAAGTTTAATAATTTAATTATTTTTATCAAATTTATAAAAAATATTTTCATTTAAAAATCTGATTTTTAGTATAACTATAAATATATGATCTATTACTCAATTATTTTGAATAAAAATATTATATTAAACTTTTATGAAGATTATTTTAATTTACCCATTTGCAAATATCATGATATATTTTTAATTTTATAATTTTATTAATTCATATAAATAGAACATTACTAAATATCTTAATTAAAATTGTGATGTAATTTGTTTTTTCTATGTTGTTTTGACGGATGACAACATCATTATTAATACTAATTGTCTATCGCTTGTATTTTTAATTTTTTCCTTGATTATATTCTATATTTGGCTTTTCTTTGTTTTTTTTCTACTTTCTAATAACTTTGCTTTTATAACATATTTTTTTATGTCTTTTGACATTTTTGATCTTCTATGCTGGACGTTTGGCCGTTCTTTTCGTTTAATTTTATCATGGTTTGATTTGACGGTTCATCGACTGATCAATATGACATATTTGTTATACTATTGAATTCCCTGCTTTATACCCTTAAATTGAATTTGGATATGCACTTTATTTTCAAAGAATTTTTCTCACGGCGTTTGACTTTGATTTGTGATTATCTGTGAATTTTTAGTAGTTTGATCCTTTGTTGTCGTTTGTTTAGCTATGTAGTTAGATCTGCTTGTATCTATCTTTTGTTCGAATTTTTTAGATGGTTTTTAACTTTTTTATTGTATGATAAGTTGTTAGTTTCTTGAATCAATGATTATAAGAAGATATTCTAATTATGTATTTAATTTATTTTTATGATTATCAAATTACATTTTAATTTTAAATATTTTATCTTTTTTAATAAAATTAGCTTTCTGTCGCAACCGTCTTTCGGTTGGGCCCCGGGATTGGGCTTCGACTTGAAAATGTGGATTGGAGTCGCCACCGACCATTTTAAAACGAATTTAGGTGGGTCGGACACCATCTTACCTGATATGCGTTGTACCAGAAACGTGTCGGGTTCGGGAGTCGATTACTGTCAAGGAAGGATTAGCACCCTTGAACTGCCCTTTCGGTACCAATTAATTTGTCGGCTATTTTAATTACGAAAAATTAAAATTTAAATCAAAATTTAAAAATTCATTTCGAATTACTTACCGTTGACTAGTTAAAAGTGTACCCTAAAAGGTCAAAAATATTAGATAAAAAGTATTAAATAAATATTAAATAAATGAAATGAAAAAAAAATAACAAAAAAAAGTAATAATATAAAATAAAACTCATAATGATTGATGGGCCATATGGAGAATTTACCCAAAATTAAAAATACTTGGGACTTTGTTTTACTTTCACGCAGAAGCCACAGAATTGGTCACAAATGGTTGCACATTTCCACGTGCATTTTAGATTGCTCTCACATACCAGTTTGTGGATAATCGAGGGTTGAACCTTCTCGTGTAAGTACTTCGAGCCCCTTGCCGCATCAACTGCAATTCTTACCCTCTGCATCTAGTTGAGAATTGGCCTCGGTTGTGCCCCTTGAACCCCCTTCCTTCCATGCAAAATGTCATGAAGCGAATCCATTGTTGCAAACTCATAGGCAAGCGCACGGTGATTTCATTCAACATAGCAACCTTGCACCTCGACAAAATTGTCATGCTTCAGTCTTGAAACCATGGGAAGCGATAGTTTGAGTTAAGATTCATCGTTGTTTCTTGCAACTTTAACGTGTACGTAACCGTAGCCCCCGATGTTTCATCGGATGGTGGTGTGGGAGCCATTAGTTCAGGCATCGCCCTTAGAGTTCTTTCTCGTAAGACAGTTTCCACCGTCGCTTGGCAAACACGACAGTTTCCACCGTCGCTTGGCAAACACGACAGTTTCCTGTCCATAAAAATACCGACGGCTCCGTTCAAAGGATTCACCGTTCTCCCACAAGCTTCGAACAAAAGTGATTGGAATAAAGCAGGACGTTGAGACGGTCGTAGTTTTTGAGGAGGATGGGCCACTGGGAAGTGCCGATGGAAGGGGTGGTGCTCTGGGGTTTGATCATGAAATCTTGCTCCGATTCTTTGGCTTCACCATGTCAATGGGCAAGCAAGAATTTGCGTCCACCTCCCCCAACACTGGTTATCGGTTCGTGAAGACCTGCATGTGGCAATCTTTGACCAACAATATCCTTGTTCTTCGATGGCAGCCTCCAGTCTCGAGTCTTCTTCTTCAGTCCACGTGCCTACATTCAAAGCTGGATCTAGAGAATTCACTTCTGCATAGGTTAGCAGTGAGTGTGGTGTTGAAAACTCGTTGGCATCTCGGATTTAGCCATGTGCACGATGTAAGTCTTCCTACGGCTCTTCTCCTTCCCCGATGTTGCAACCATGGACAAGTGGTAGAAACCCAGAAGCAAAACAATCATAAAACACTTAACCATCCCGATTTTTGTGCACTCTTGGATATTAATTTTTGTTTCACATGACTTAATATCCTTTTTTTTAACTGAGCCCCCGCCAAGAACTCCTTCTCCCCCTAAAACCAAGATGATGGCCCTCTTAAAAAGAAGAAAGAAAATGTAACTAAAAGGAGAAAATTATGGGATTTGTTTTGAGTTAGTGGGGGTAGTGGTTGCACAATGGAAGGGGAAAGTTGTTGGGTAGTGTCTGAGTGGATTATTATTTTCTAACTATGTGGGGTGTAAAAAGTTAATAAAATATTGAATGAATGGTTAAAAAAAAGTGTGTTTACAGCTGCCCCTCTTTGTCCATAGTCGTGTAACGGGTGTAGGACAGATTAAAAGACACACTTTTTTGTTTAACATGAATGTATCCAAATTTAACACCATCCATATAGGGGTGAAATCCCATCGAATATCCTCTGTTTTAGAGTTGAAATCCGATATTTGGTCTAAAACACAAAATGAATCCCTCGCCGTGAGTTGAACTAGAAAATTCTGAGCACGAAATCCTTCGTTGTGAAGTTGAAAACGAGCTCAAAGCTTTTGACAAGTGGCCTCTGAATCGTCTTCTGGCTCAAGATACTTCGTCGTGAAGGTGGAACTTGAACTGAAGACTTTGGTGTTGTGATGTTACAGATGACCCATTCGTCGTGAGGTTAAGTCAATCTGTTGGGGTATGATACCCTTCGTTGTGAAGTTGTACATGTATATGGCCCCTTCGTCGTGAAGTTGAGCCTGAGAATTGGATATCCTTCGTTGTGAAGTCGAAATCCAAGTAAGTTGTATTGTTTTGAGACCAATATCCTTCGCCGTGAAGTTGAAATCGGTTCTGGAACTGGAAAGTTTATTGACAGACACTCCTTCTTTAAGTTGGATATCCTTCGTCGTGAAGTTGAAATCCAATCTAGAGATGGATGCTGCTTGTGTGCACGATTCCCTTCGTCGTGAAGTTGAAACCGCGGGTGGCCCCTTCGTCGTTAAGCTGAGCCTGGAATTGGATATCCTTCGTCATGAAGTTGAAATCCAAGTAAGTTGTATTGTTCCAAGTCCAATATCCTCCGCCGTGAAGTTGAAATTGGCTCTGGAACTGTGAAATTGTTTGTTGACAACCAGCGGTCCCTTCGTCGTGAAGTTGAACTTGCGTTGTCTGGAGTCCAATATCCTTCGTTGTGAAGTTGAAATTGGTTCTGAAATTGAGAAATTGTTTATTGACAACCAACGGTCCCTTCGTCGTGAAGTTGAACTTGCGTTGCCTCGAGTCCAATATCCTTCGCTGTGAAGTTAAAATTGGCTCTGAGATTGAGAAATTGTTTATTGACAACTAGCGGTCCCTTCGTCGTGAAGTTGAACTTGCGTTGTCTGGAGTCCAATATCCTTCGTTGTGAAGTTGAAATTGGCTCAGAAATTGGGAAATTGATTATTGACAACCAGCGGTCCCTTCGTCGTGAAGTTGAACTTGCGTTGTCTGGAGACCAATATCCTTCGTTGTGAAGTTAAAATTGGAAAATTGTTTATTGACAACCAGCGGTCCCTTCGTCGTGAAGTTGAACTTGCGTTATCTGGAGTCCAATATCCTTCGTTGTGAAGTTGAAATTGGAAAATTGTTTATTGACAACCAGCGGTCCCTTCGTCGTGAAGTTGAACTTGCGTTGTCTGGAGTCCAATATCCTTCGTTGTGAAGTTGAAATTGGGAAATTGTTTATTGACAGCCAGCGGTCCCTTCGTCGTGAAGTTGAACTTGTGTTGTCTGGAGTCCAATATCCTTCGCTGTGAAGTCGAAATTGGCTCTGAAATTGGGAAATGTTTATTTGACAACCAGCGGTCCCTTCGTCGTGAAGTTGAACTTGCGTTGTCTTGAGTCCAATATCCTTCGCTGTGAAGTTGAAATTGGCTCTGAAATTGAGAAGTTGTTTATTGACAACCAGCGGTCCCTTCGTCGTGAAGTTGAACTTGTGTTGTCTGGAGTCCGATATCCTTCGTTGTGAAGTTGAAATTGGCTCTGAAATTGGGAAGTTATTTATTGACAACCAGTGGTCTCTTCGCCGTGAAGTTGAACTTGTGTTGTCTGGAGTCCAATATCCTTCGTTGTGAAGTTGAAATTGGCTCTGAAATTGGGAAGTTGTTTTTTTGACAACCAGCGGTCCCTTCGTCGTGAAGTTGAACTTGTGTTGTCTGGAGTCCAATATCCTTCGTTGTGAAGCAGAAATTGGCTCTGAAATTGAGAAATGTTTGTTGACAACCAGCGGTCCCTTCGTCGTGAAGTTGAACTTGCGTTGTCTGGAGTCCAATATCCTTCGCTGTGAAGTTGAAATTGGCTCTGAAATTGAGAAATTGTTTATTGACAACCAGTTGTTTGTTGACAGACAACTTTTCTTGACTTAAGTTGTGCTGTAAATTTCCTT